ATTTGAGTTCAATTCGATTCGATTCGATTTGATTTGAAAAAATCAAATCAAATTCAAATTGCTTAAATATTTGATTCGATTCGATTTTGAGGAACCCTACGTAAAACTATATTAATTAGTCTAGATTTGCTATAATTTTAAATATTTAGCAAATTATCAATAATTTTAAAATATTACAAGATTTTGATAATTAAATAGACTTATAATACTAAGTAAAGTTATAGATCTGGTAATTATCTACAATATTACTTATTACAGAAAATTATTATTATATATTAAATATTTGTGTTAAATTAAAATTCATTAAAATTTAGCTTAAATTATTAATTCTGGTAAAATTATAAATCGCATGATGACGTAATTATGTATTTATGTTTCATATTACATTTTTTGAGTTTCATATTATATTTTTGGTAAAACAATTATCATGACATATATAATTAGTAATGATCAGTTAACTTAAACAAATAGGTTTGTTTGCAAATTTTATTATTGAGAGGTAGCTAAAATTTAATTTAGATTTTTATTATTTTGTTCTATTTTTATTGTTTGTAATTTCTTTTATTTTCTTTAGAATAATCTAATTTTTTTTAATAAAATTATTAGCAGAGTCTTATTATTTTTTAAAAAAACTTAGATTTTATATAATATTTCATATTATTGTTAATATCATATATAGCATATTTTAAGTATCTATCTGATTTGTAAAATCTTTATGTATAAAGATACACAATTTTCTTTATGATATTCATAATATATTACATGATTTTTATATATTAAATTCAATTTATTAAAAAATTGGAATAAATCTTTTGTTGTTTTTTATTAATAAAAGTTATGTATTTTTGATTCTTTACATTTAGCAAAATAACAATAATTTTAAAATATTACAAGATTGTGATAATTAAATAAGACTTATAATACTAAGTAAGCTTATAAATCTGGTGATTTTCTACAATATTATTTAATAAAAGAAATTATTATTATATATTAAAATTTTGCATTAAATTAAAAATCATTAAATTCTTAATTCTAATAAAATTATAAATCTCGTGATGACATAATTATGTACTTACGTTTTGTATTATGTCTTTCAAATTCTATATTATGTTTTGGTAAAACAATTATCATGACATGTATAATGCTAGGATTGTAAGTTTTACAATTTCATATTAAATTTGTTTATAAGCATATGATTTTTTATTATGTAATATCCAATAGTTTCAAATTAGACAATTGGATAATAATTAATTTCATCATTACTTAGAACCCTTTTCTTAGCAAATTTCATTGACTTAAATTTTTAAGGAAATATTTTTTAAATCCTAAAGTTTTTCTTTATAAATGATAGTAAATAATATAAAATCCAATATCGGTTTTATAATAGCCAGCTTGTTTAAAAAAATTTTTTATACATAACAAATTTTATTACTATAAGTAAAAAAGTTGATACAATTGTTAAAAATTGAGTAAATTTATTGCACCTCAAATATTTATTAAAAATTCTCTAGAATTTAAGAATTAAATCATATTTTTAGCATTTATAGTTTTTATAGTTAATAAGTTATAAACTTTTAAAATAAACAATTATAGTTACATTTCTTTGGTGAGTTATTATATGGGAAGTTGGGAAAATCAGGTTCCGAGAATTTTTTTTTCAACTAAAATCGAGATTTTAATCTAACTATAAATTAAAGCTAAAAATCTAGTCCTAAATCGACAAGTAATATATAGTATATTAATAAAAAAATTACTTTGTTTATACAGTATATAAAAATAGAAAAAAAGAAAAACGAAAAGGACTATCAACTCTCTGTAGAAGAAATCAAGGATTAAAATACGAAACTTATAAAGCTTTTGTGATTAAAATGATAAAATAATACGGCCAAACGTAAAGTGACGTGCATTAATTAAAAGAATAAAGACAATCCTCATTTCGATGATCACCCGAGTTGCTTTTCCGGGAAAAAATACTGGAACGAATTCCTTATATTAAAAAAGTGGGGATGGGATGCATTGTTGATTTTTACAAAAAAACTTTGTCTAATTACAAGGAATACAAAGCAAAAGATTCCAAATTTATCAAATTGGGAATTATTTAACTTTTTTTATTTTTTTTATAGTAACAAAAAAAATATAAATAATCATTCATTATTTTTCTCAAAAATACAAGTTTTTTAAAAAAAAAAAAAAAAAAAAAAAATGGCCAAGAATTTATATTTTGTGATATTCATTTTATTTCAATTAGCTACAAATTGTCAAATGAAATCATTTAAACCATCGCATAGATATATGCACACCACTACACTTGTAAATAATAAATTATATATTTTGGGCGGGCACCAAAGTATTAACTCAACTATAGATGCCGGCAAAGAGTTTTTTTATCTCGATGTATCGATTTCATTCAATGCTCAAAATTTATTATGGTATGATTTAACAAGCATTAATATCATCCCAACACATGCTTTTGCAACTACTGTTAGAGGAGTAAATAACGATGCATTAATTGTATATGGAGGAAGAAATTTAACAAATGCGGAAACCATGGCCCTAATTTATGTGTTCGATACACAAAGTAATTCATGGTATATTCCATCGACAACGGGAGTAAATTATGTCAAAAGGAGAGGACTAACAGCCGAGATGGATGATAATGGGAAGGTATACTTATTTGGTGGATGGTTAATAGATGGTGACTATGTAAATGAAATGCTCATTTTAGATACTGTAAATTTAACATGGAGACAAGGGAGTTCTCTAGACGCACCCACTCCAAGGATTAATTATGGGGCTGTTTTTTTGCCTAATCAAAATATCATTTACTTGGGTGGGATGATGCATACTAATGAAAATTCACCATTAAATGAGGTAAATTATTAAATTATTTCGACATGTTTATAAGCAATATATTAATCATTGTGAATTCATTTATTTTTTACAGGTCTATTCATATGATACTATTAATGATAAATGGAGCACAATAGTAAGTCAAAAATATATTTTTTTCATTATCACAAACAAAATATTTAAAAAAGATTTCGAACAATAATTATTTATTCAACTAAAGAAAACATCAGGATCAATACCTTCTGATAGATTTGGGTTTTCTGCTGTTCTTGGTAAGAATTTACATCAAGTGAAATCACATACTTTTAATCCAATTAATGAGTGTCGTTGATCATTATAGGATTGGATAAACAACGGATCATAATATTTGGAGGAAATGAGACAAGTGAGATCAGTTCACTGTATGTTTTGGACATAAACGAATTTAAATGGTATGTTCCAAAGGTTTATGGAAAGCTCCCAAAATCTCGATATTGTCATAAAGTGAATTTGATTGGAAACTATATGATTATATCATTTGGTAAGATTTATAGATCTATTAATTAATGTTGAATTAATCATTAAATAATTTTAATAATTATAAATTGATAGGACTTGGATATAACCCAGAAATTGAAAACGATATATTATTGCTCGACATTAGTAATGATGATGGATATATATGGACAACAGAATTTAATCCTTCATATTTGCCATCAACTCCGACACCGACGCATAAATCTACTAATATATCAGCTTTGATCGGTACAATTATCGCATCTTTATCGAGCGGTAGTTTATTAACAATTGGAATGTTTTATCTATACAAATGGAACGTGAATAGACAATTATACAAGGTTACAATATTAGAAATCCCTTGAAGTAACGCCGAAATAATTACTGCCCAATAATATTGAAGGTTATATTCGTGGCAAACTGCTCATTGCATACAACATTTAAATCAAACCGAAATAACGCAAGAGTTAAGATATGCATCCATCCCAAAGAAGAAACAATATGGTATATTCCAACAACAAAAAATAAATAAATGGCGGGCACTATTTTGGATATTGCACTGTATAGAAAGAGGAATGCGATTTTTAAACATCAATCCTGAGGAATGATTATTTGTGTTAATCAAAATGAAAACTCGAATTCCAATTATCAGGGTCCTTTGCAATCGCATAGCATTGAGTTAATTTGAAAGAAATACCTGCGAGTTGTCCATATAAGACTAAAGGCTGAAATAAAAATACTATATATGGTTCAAAAATATGTTGTGTCAAACTTTTTAACTTTTTATTCTACATAATTATGCACTTTATAAGCCATGATTCGAAAAGTTTCCTAATATGGACTAAAATAAAAATAAAATGCGACAACATTTCCATGAAAAATTTTCACAGATAAAAAGAATATAACATATAAAATAGAAAAAAAATAAAAAAAATAAATAAATAAAAACAATAGTAGAAGAAAACCTTTTAAATTCATTAACCGAATTTATCATCATCTCTGGCTTTACTGTCTTTGTCATTCTTTCATTTGAAACCTTTTGATTATTAATTTTTAGTTCTTTTTACTTTTTTTTGGCCAATAATATCTTATAAAATTTGGTAATATTTGATTAACATTAAAACTTCAAGTTTTTGAATGTATAAATATCGCTTAAGACATCAAGTCGCTACTGAAAATTAGAGCCTTCTTTCAAAACATGTGATGTCAACCTCCTTAGAAGCATCTACATGGTCGTCAGAAGGAATTAAAACGGAGAATTATTGGGGTTGAGTTTAACGATTCCGCTTGTGTTTGGAATATTGAAAGACCATTATGCAATTTAATCCTCATTTTTGTAAAAAGTTTTTTTTTCATTGCATGATTCTTATTATTCCTTATAATTGGAAAATGGGTCCATGGAGAAAAGGAAAAGAAGGTTTTGGTACCAAAATAGTGAAATCTTTTTTCTGAAAATTAAAATCTTTCATGCTGACCTACATCATTCATTGGAAAATTATTGAATATCCTTTTTCTTAGGCTACATAAAATAGTTAGCAGCTTTGAAATTGGAAATTCGAATGACATTTCTGTGATTTTAAAACCTAGTTTCCAATAAAATAATTTTTTTTTACATCAAATTTTATTGGTATTTATAAATCAAGTTAAACTGAAAAAATGAACTTAACCTGCTGCAAAACATGCAACATTATTTATAAACATTGTTGTGCAACAAACAATCAATAATTAACTGGGATTTTGATCAAATCTACGATTTATTTTTTTTTTATTCCCGAATAGGGAATCGTCATTTATTTATCAATAGGAAATCACAATGTATATATTTTCATTCAGTTCTTAAACTCACTTACATATATATATATTGTGATCTTATATGGAGATTATAATGATATTCATTTACTTTACCGATGGAAAGACTTATCAAAGAATATGATTGTGTCATCTCATATTGCCGCTTCATCTGTGTAAATTATAATACATCCTCTATTAGCACTAATTCGTGAAGTGCCTCCAAAAATGGCGAAGATCTGCACATGCGTAATGTAGTAAATATTTATTCGATATACCCAATGATAAATTTTGTTATAATTCAAAATTTAAATTTTTTTATCTCTCTTATCTATAATTTAAAAGATATTCATTTTCATTAAAAACTTTCCACATCTTAATAATGTTAAACTTTTACTTGTAAAATGACTTTATTAAATGTAAATTTGCAAATTCATGTTAATAAAATACATTATGTTACACCGCATTAATTTAAATACATATTATATACAAAAGGTTTTCATATTTTGATTATTGAGGTTGAAATTGAAGCCAAACTAAAAAAAAAAATCACAAGTTCTTGTTGTAATACCATTATAGTATTACTAAATATTTCTTAATTCTGTAATTGTAATCACTAGCTATGCACCAGGATAATTAAAACTTTTTCGGGGAGAACATACGGACCTAAATTTAAAAATTATTACGTATTAGTTTATAAATACATTGTTAAATCGATTAATCCCTTGATTTCTTACATTTTAGAATTGTTAAAATTTGATGCTTCTAAATACGCGCTTTCCAATTCAGATTGAGTTAATGAATCTAAATAAAAATATTAAAAAAATTGAGGATTCTTTTTAAACTCTAATTGATGAGAAGACATTCAAACATTTAATTCTTGAAATACCTAAAGATGATGAGGAATTTGCAGAATCATTTGCACTAAGAGATTGTTGAGAATCTCCTGATGCTGCAGATCCTTTTGTTGCTGTATTTGAAGGCTGTTGTGAATTTGGTGTTAAATTAATTATCGGAGTCCCTGTTAAATCATTATTTTCCAAAGAATTATTTGTATCAATAGGACCGGTTTTCTGAGATATTGGTAGAAAAGCTGCAAGATCTTGCATTTGCAATTTTGCTAATCTATCGCTCAAAGAAAATTCATCACTCTTTTTTAGTGAATCATTTTCTTCAAAGTATTCATCGTAATCATTATCAGGATCAATATTTGGAGTCATCATATTACTAGAAAGATCATGCGTATCAAGAGACAATGGATTTGAAAGGGTTCGAGATAGAGGCATGGCCACTGATGCTGAAGGTGTGGCGAATGACGTATTTGTTGATGATTCTAACGCGGGCAAAATTGTTGTATAATTATCTTGTTTTTGAGCGATATGAGTAGATTGTTTTATAATTTGATCAGTTGTAATTGTTGAGACAGATGAAGAAGGAGATGTTGGACGTCCTGATATATTAGTCATTCCAATTGGAAGGGGAGATGGTGTGGTTTGCGTATGAACTAATACATTTTTTACTATAATAAAAGATAATCAAATTAGCCCAACTTTTCAATAAATTAAATAGATTAACAACTATTACACAAATTAAAACCTTGAGATGTTTCATTTGTCGATTGTACGACTGAAGCATCCAGAGAAGAAGAAGCCGATCCACTTGTTTGCTTACGCCCATCTGTCAAACTAGTATTGCTACCCGTCCGTGTCATATCCTGTGAACCAACATGCCCGCCACGAGATGTGATGTGTTGTTCTCTGCTTGCATTTGACATTGCAGATGGAGGTCTTTGGTGACCAATTATCGTCCCATCACCCTCAAATATCGAAACCTTTGTTAAAGATGCTCGACTTGATGCCCTATTACGACTACCTATAATTCCGCTATTACTAGCACTTAAAGTTTCCCCTCGTCGTAACTGTTTCTGAACTCCACGCAACTGTGTTTCATATAAAAATGAAGCATGTCGCAGGAGATACGGGACAGGCACATTTAAAAGACGGGAAGCAGCATACCCTAATTCAGGTAGACAAAAAATTCATTGTCGATTTTGTAGTAAATTATAATTATAATTATTATTATTATTATTACTATTATTATTTTTTTTTTAAAAAAAAAAGGAGAATCGGTACATACAGTCAATGCTTTGTCGTTTATTTTGAGTAAGAATTTCCCATAGTTTTTGTTCCATCTCCTCAGTCCATACAACCTATATATTAAAAGACTTTAGAAATGGTGTTTTTGATTGTGAGGGTTTATTTAAAACTCACAGAGGGTGGCTCAACAAAACCATGTGGTCTTTTATAAGGAATCCTTATAACGACGTGCAAAGGCTGCTGTTCTAAAGACATTTATTTAGATCTGTTTGTTTTTACTAAAAAAAAAGCTGATTTATTTAATTCGGATTATTTTTTTAGCAATTTTTGTGTATCCTTTATGCATAAAAGTATATAACACCAATAAGGAAATTTGACCACAAATTTTGTCTCATCAAAAATCAAAAATCAAAAATCTTTTTTTGTATTCATTAATTTCATTAATTATTATAGAAAGTTCTTTCTGCAACAATAGGATTCCTTAAATAACACCTGTTTTTTTATCAAAAGTTTTTTTTTTCGCAGTACTTGCTTAATAATTTTCAATAAAATTTTTCTTAAAATATAGCTTTTCAAAAATAATATAAGAAAAAAAAATTTGTTAATTTATAACCTATATTTGTCATTTATAAATTCGTAATACTAATAAAGTTAGTTTTTTTTTTTACATGCTTTTATAATTTTGCCAAACTAGCCTAATTTTAATTTAATCAACCTCAATCCCTCACAATTTTTAAGAAAATACAATGGATGATATCACTTATCATTTGGAAAACTCGGCGCAATTTTGGGAAAGTGAGTAAAAAATTTTTTATCTGCTTGAGTTAGATATATGTTTATATATTTATGATATGTAATATCTTAATATTCATAGAATTGGATGAAATCCTCGCACGAGGTGTAGAAAATCAAGCTTCAGCTCTATGTTCTATTGATTTATACATAAAGTTTGTTTCTAGTTTTCAAGGTAAATGATTAGATCGAATCTTTTCTTTCATTTTTTTTTTGTCTAAATTTCTTCAACTTTTAGATGAATTTCTTGAAAATGAAATGGAACTTATGGATTGTTGTTACAAATTGCTTGTTTCTCCCATCTATCAAAGTTTTTCTGATGTTGTTATTGATCGCGTTATACAACGTGCATCAAAGCAAACAGATGTTAAAGAATTATTTCTATTATATAATATCTTGTTTCTTGCAGGAAAAGAAAGCAAAAAGATTTTTGCAAAAATGATGTGCGTACGAGAACAAAATTTTGTATCAAAATTAAAAAATCATATATACATGAATAAAGTTGGTAAGTTTACTACAAAACCTAATCATCCTTTTAATCGCAATAAATTCGAAAATTTATTGGGGGGTTTTTTTTTTTTTATTATTATTAGATAACAGGTTACAACAAATTTCAATACAGTTGCTTTTCGAAATTTGCTATGTTCAACGATTAACACCTAGTGAATTAAGTAAGGTTACAATTCATCATATTTAAATGGACATATTTTTTGATTTTGATATTAATATTACATTTTTTCTTTAATAGACTTAATAGACGAATCGTTTTTGAATTATCTTCTTGATATGGTAGAAAATACAAGAAATGATGACGATGAAATGTTTAATTATTCCATCATTCGGTTGATCGTAAGTTTGTTAATTCATATAGAATTCATTTTGCATACTGATATTGGATTTAACCATAAATCGCTTTTTATTGGAATTTTTCAAGTTGTCGTTTAATGAGCAATTTTTGTTAACATGTTCGCAAATTGAGGATGTAGATTGGAATCCTAATACAGTCCTACGTGTATTGGGAGCTAGAATCGGTAGCAGTAAAACTTTTGGCGAAAATTTGATATTTATGTTAAACCGAGCAGGTATAAATCAAAAGCCTAAATGTTCATATAATTAACGCTATTTTATTCATTAACATTTAATTTTGGAATCCATTTAGTCGATCATCATATACAAATGCTTATATTGAAACTTTTATATGTACTATTTAATACTCCGGAAACTTTTGAATTTTTTTACACAAATGATTTGAGGGTTCTAATAGATGTATTCATTAGAGAACTCTATGATATGCCGGAAGAGAGCGAGACAGTGAGTTCAAGTGATAACAACATTTCCTACACTTATATTCGTTTTATATTAACGTAATTTCTTTAATTGCAGCTTCGTCACGCGTTTCTACGAGTTCTTTGCCCATTAATCACAAATACTCAGTTGTTTCAATATCGATATAAACACCAACAGATTCATAATTTGCTCCTAGATTTGAATGGATCGACGACAAAACAATTTAAACCCGTATCGCCAAAAACACAAAGTTTAGTCAACAAGTGTTTGAAGGCAGATTATTTTGGTAATGGAATAACAAGAAATCCTACTCCAAATGCTCTTGTATCGGGAATGGATATCACAGTAAATACAAATTCTTCAAATGGAAATGGACTTACAGTCAATTAAACGATCTTGATAGTATTCATCATAAAGAATTTTCGATTAACTTTAAAATCATTTCCTTGGTTTATTTTTTCTATTTGGATAAACTTTTTTTTGTAAAAAAAAAAAAAATTTGAATTTGAACATTTGGTAATTTTACTTAATTAATAAGTTTGTATTAGTAAATACATTTAATATATTAATATATTTTCTTTTAATTTGATTTTTATTTTTATTTTTACTTTACTATTTACTACATTTACTATTTTAATACCTAATGAAAATGTTAATATAAACTTAATATATACTTTATATTAGATAAATTAGACTTTGAGCTTTAATAAAGAGACAAAAATATTTCACATGATAATTACATGTACATATGATATGGTATTGGAGATAAAAATATCAGTAATTAATTACAGGAACTTAAAATAATCTTTTTTTTAGAATGTTATATGATATATATAATCTCCAAAAAAGGTTAACGGTTTTTTGGAGCAAAAAAGATACTGTATCTATCAGCCAATCAGAAATGATATAAAATACTTATTACTTTAAAATTGATCTTTTGACATTATAAAAAGGAATTTTTTTATTCATTAGTTGTTTTTATTAATCTATATTATATAAATTTAGTAATTCTTTTTTTTTTCTTAAAGAAATATTAAAAATATTTATATTAGGCAAGCAAAGTAAATTTAGTTTCTGGTAACATTTTATTATATAAAAACATTTTGAAATTTGATACAGAAGTTTCAATAAAATTCACTTTGCCCGGACTTACAGTATATTATATTAATAATTTGTCTTTTAAAATAAGTGTTTTAGTTAGATTTACCGGAAAAGTAATAATAATATTATATCGATGTGAAGCAAAGAGAATCCAAATCTCGTTCAGCAGGCAATAACAAATCGAAAAGTTGCAAAACGTACACAAAATGTGGATAACCGTATAATTAATTAAATAACCTTTATTAAAGTTATTATAGAAGGATGACATCTGGTTACTATTTTTCCGAAACATATACAAGAAATGATTCATTGATTAACCGGAGACAGTATTGATAATTGACAATAAATTAACTGAAACATTTAGATATTATTCTTATAAAAATTGAATTATTTAAATATTCGCGTCACCGATCATCAAATGATTTATTATACGGTCGGACTATGCTTGAATGTGGCTATATATTTACTCCATGACAATAGAGTCCGCCGGGCTTTAAAAAATATGGACTTAATATGTCAATCATTAGAAAATGGAAAGGTCGTTTGATCCCTTTCTTTTAAGTTAAGGTTTTATTTTGTCGACAATAATTGACATATTTAAACTTTAAATTAAATTAATTATATTACTCAGCTATTTAAATAACCTTGAAGTTATACCATATTTGATACTTAAGTTTATTTGAATTTTGTAATTTACAAGTGCCTCCTTCTTCTAAATGAATTCTATTGTTGTTAAATGATCGTAACAACGCCGCTTTCATTGTTTTTGTATCTTGTTTTATTTTTTAAAAAAAAGGCCAGCCTGACAAGTAGGTCATCTTGACAAGTAATTACTTAAATCAGTTAATCTATTTTCTTTCTCCTGGGGTTGTATTGCTTGTCGTCGATATTTTCTATGCCTATGCCATCTATAAAAAAAAAACTTCAAATGATAAAGTTATAGCACCAAATAAAGATTCTATAACCGCACCAATCACAGCTCGCGATCCATTTGATAAGATGATGACAATGATGGAGTTGAAGGCATTGGTAAAGATTATGCAATTTCAGGAGGATTAGGATCAAAGACGTTCGTCCACTTATATACGTTATTATCGCTAATATCGAGCAATAAAAACATCATTTTCTTTTAACGTTGTATCATAACCCATTCCTATTAAATTTTTAAATTATCATATACAAGATAGGACAATGTAAAGTATATTCGAAAGTTGCCGAATGTTGGAACCATAAATTTTCTAATCAGGCTCGCTTGATGCCGAAAAATATCTTTTGGATCCAGAAGTTTTTTTAGAATGGACCAAAAAATGACTAAAACTAATACGTACAGCGCCTCCTCCTTATAACTTTGATTACCACCAAAAATTATTAATCGTTTTCCATCTAACCCTGTTAATAAACAATTATTACCATCCATTTCAAATTTCAAATATCTTTAATTACTCATTTTGAAAATAAAAAATACTTACCAAGTACGACAGAAAAACAAACAATGCTAGGGGAAGGAACGTCCCGTAGAATTCTGGATAAATAAATAATTAATTACTTGAAAGATATTTAACCAAAAATCTTTATAAAACTTACTCTCTTGGTCCAACTATCATTAATTATGTCATCTAGATAGACCCAAATTTAATTATTACTGTCAATTATCGCTTTATATATAAAAATAACCTAAGAAAGATTATAAAATGATAATTTACCTCGGCCACCTAAATGATAAATAAAAAATTATTTTCCTACCGAAATAGGCAATGTAATGGCTGTCCAACAAAGAAGCACCGTAATATATCCTAGCTTTCGTAATTTCATGTTGACGGAAAGTAGACGATTTATTACTCCACCGAATAAATACATTTTTCCATTATTCATGAGCAGTATAAAAGTACCGTTTTGTTGGCACGAATTCAATCGATTGACAAATATTAAGTTTAATAATTAAATTAGTAAGATCAAACGATTCTTAAACATGGTTACACTTTTCTGTAACAAATGTAGTTAATTATCGAATTTTAAGGATGTGCGGCCCTCCAATTTTTTAGTATAAATGCGCACTTGAATTTGTGAAATATTGAATTGCATGTGGATAAACAGCACTAGATAGATTTCTTTATAAATATTTATAAATATTTATAAATACAGTCGGCACTGGATATAACGAACCTGTTTGTACCGAAAACTCGTTATACTGAACAGAACCGAATTTTTATAATTAATTACACTGGATATAACGAACTTATATAGTAAAATGCATCCGAACTCATTTTAACTGGCCCACTATATTATTTATACACATGATATACCGAACGATCACATGATTTAAAAAATTGGGCGTAAAATTTGAATCGACTAATTTAGCTAATTTTAATTTATGTTTGATAAGAAATGAAATCATGTCTCGATACGTTTCGTTTAATTTAATAAATTTTTTTTTTGCATTTAAGTTTAAAGAATTTTTAAATGCCCATTTTATCAATTTACTATTCCAATGTAACGAATAAAAAATGATTTTTTTATAGGCTTTCTTTTTGCTTATAATTTTGCAGTAGAAGACATTATTAAAAGAAATGGTTATCATTTATGCCGAAATATGTTTTGGATTCGGCAATGTCAAAACTTATCTTCAATTTGCCGAAATCACGATGTCAAAACCGAAACTGGTTTAAAATCCGAAATTAAGATAACAAATTAAATTTAAAATTAATATAATGAACAAAAATGTACTTTATGTTTATTTATTTAATTCCCAATAAACTTTATTACATTATCTATTAAGGTTTACTACTTTAGTTATTTCCTATTATAAAGTATATACAAAAAAAACTATGAAATAATAGTATTTTATTTTAGAAACATCGTCGCTGCTGCTAGTTCAGCTGGATTATAATCTTCCTCTTGATTAAAACTTCCAAATCTACTAGCTTACTTTCCAATTCCCTATTATTATCTTCTTCATTCCTTGATGTTTGCAAAAATCTTGACAAATCCAGAGTTTTCTCAATTTCTAAAGTTCCTTCAGCAATGACTTCTGTATCATCAGTATTAAACTGATCATTAAAAATAATTTCATTTAGGTTTATTTCTTCTTCATCTTCATATAAGTCTGCATCTCTCAAAACTTGTCGAATTTCTTTTGCAGATTGTCCTATCCCATAATATGATAATAAATTCATTGATGAAGGAAAGAGATTAACATCGTAATTTATCAATGATCATTTTCTGAAAAATCGACTTTTTCGCTTAATTTGTATTTTGGTTACACTGATCTTCAATTGTTATATATGATTTTGGTTGTTAATACACAACGTGTACATCGATTTTAAAGTGTATAAAGCAGCTATATAGCTATATTTTAGCTATTGCTACAGCTATAGCTATTGCTTCTATGTTATCAATAGAATAAATTGGTGTTTTAAGCTTTCCTGTGACACTTTTTTAATATGTTAAATTTGAGCATCATGTAAATGATATTTTTGCAAAAATTTAATCTTTTGTTGATCTTTTGTTGATCTTACATTTATTTTTTTTTTTTGACATTTAATTTCGTTGAATTGATTTTTTTGATCATTTGTTTTTTTAAAGAAAATTGTGTTACATTCTTTTATAGTATTTTTTTTTTTGAGATTGAACTAACGCTTTAATTTTTTATCTCATTGTTGGTTCCTTTTTCTGAAAATAAAATAAATGAACTATAGTTTTTTTTCTGTAGATAGATCTAATCCTTTTTAAATTTTAATCTCATTTTTTCTTTTTTTTTTTGAAATAAATGAATGAACTATATTTGTAATTTGTGATTAGATCTTTTATTTCAAATTTAATATTTGATTTGTAATACATTTGATCTCGTATTTTTCTTTATTTGATTTTTGTTATGTTTTGTTTACACTTTTGTTAAGAAAAAAATTTTATGAAAAAAAATTTCAATATATATTAGATAAAAATATAAAAATATAATATTCAATTACAAAAATAATTTCAACTAACTTTTCTACCAAAATGATTTTTTTTATAAAAAAAAATATAATATTTTACTAATTTCTCATTTCAATTTTGCAACTTTGATCTTTTGTAAATAATCTGGCTTATTATATAGGTATATAGGACATTTTGAGAGATCTGGGACAGATCTCGAAGAATGCCTATATATAGTATTCAAACCCACTACAAGTCCAGTTTGCTATATATTTCATTTCTATTTATTCAAACTTCTAACGTCTTTTAACTCAATTCTAGATGATGTTATCGAACTTGGCTAGGAATTAGCCTGTCTGATACCAAGAATTATACTGTTTGATATAACCATTCTAGCCTGATTTTAATCCCAAATAATATATCAAAAAATTTTTACTATTCTGTTTGCCTCAGGAGGGCCCAGCGAAAATCAAGGAACAAAGTAACGCGATTTGAGCTGGGTCTGACATTGCAAATCCAATATGAATAATAACTTTTATGCTATTCTGCTTGCCTCTAGAGGGCTCAGCAAAAATCAAGAAACAAAGTGACATGATTTTAGCTGGGTCCGATCATGCAAGCCTAAAATGCATACTATATTCTAAGTCTCACCTCTAAATCACACCTCTAAGATATATATGCCAAGTCTCACTTCTAAGTCATACTCAAAATCACACCTTTAAGTCACATCTTTTATCAAGTCTCACCCATAAATTTTTCGCATACATTATAATCAAATTGCCACCCAATAGCATACTGCTTAGGTAGCAAAAGAGAACAAGCATAAGGAGGAGCGGAGCGATGACAAATATGCGTTCAATATAGGAGAATAAGTATAAGCTAGCAAAGCTCTTTAGGGCGACGCCAGTGAATATGCATTCGACAGGAGAAACAATATAGCAGGAATATGAGCGAGTCCTTTAGGACGAAGCTAATATAGATGCTATATCGTTTCGATCATATGTTATCATATTTTAATGTATGCTATATATGAGGCAAATATGGGTGGTAATAAGTAGGCAAATGGTAAGAAAATCGCCTCCCAATAGCATACTGCTTAAGTAACAAGAGAGAATAAACATGAGGAGGAGCAGAGCGATGACAAATGCGCATTCGATATAGGAGAATAAGTATGAGCTGGCAAAGCCCTTTAGGGTGACACCAGCGAATACGCATTCGACAGGAAAAACGATATAGCAGGAATATGAGCAAGCCCTTTAGGGTGAAGCGAATATAGATGCTATATCGTTTCGATCATATGCTACCATATTTTAATGTATGCTATATATGTGGCAAATATGGGTGATAATAAGTGGGCAGATGGTATGCAAATCATAAAGCAAATATGAATCCCAAGTCTGCAGAGCAAAGCAGAGCATATATATACAAGATATGTACACAAGATATGTTCACGGGTTGAGGAGCATTGAAGATGCGAAGCATATGTATACAAGATATGTATACAGAGGTTACGAAGTACCAAGGGTGTGAAGCATGTACGCAAAATATGAAAAAAAATCAAGTAATATAAATGCATACATATTGAGTTCCAGGAATATTCTCAGAACATCCTCAGCACTATCCCCTCCTTTTTCTGGTAGCGATAAGACGCTCAGGCCAAAGAGGTAATTATTTTTATTTAAACAAAAGTTTACACAATAATTAACAGGTGAGACTTATTA